ATAAAACATGAACATAAATCTATAAAATAAATTTCTTTATTTTCTGTCATAATCTCACACAAATATATTTTTTTTTAATTTTTAGAATTGACGAGGATTAGAGTAAATGCGAGTAAAATAAGATGGGAAATAGTGTTGTGCAACTTTCACCTACTTTGAATCGAAATTATTTTCTAGCAAAGTTGGGCTATTACAAAAATTTTTAAGTGCAATTTTAACTGCAAACTGCAGCTTAAAGCTCACTGCTAACAAATCATTAAGACCATTATAATAACAAAACTCTCTATTAATTACATCAACGGTATATAATAAAAACCTCGGTACTGCATTTCTTTTCGTAAACTACTTAGTTTAGCAATAATTACTTTTAATTACGGCAGCTTTTATCGTTTACTGTTATAATTATAAGAGAGGCGATCGTTGGGGTCTCTTAAACGTTGCCATAATATTCTAGCACGTTTGGTGTTAAATAGGTCTAGCAGATGTTGAGTTGAATTATTTTTCTTAGGAATTTTTGACTAGAGATTTGGGGAGGAAGCAGTCCAGATAGCTTGTTGAATAGTGGTGGTAAAGGAACGTACGGCTATGTCGAGGACTTTTGGGTTTTTGAGAGTTATTCTGAGGTCAATTTTACCGGAAAGGATTTGATGAAAGAGTTTCCAATTAACTGGGTCTCTGATGAAGGACGGTAGAGGGGATTTAGAAATAGGAGCTATTGATAATTGAAGTATTAATTGACTGATCTGTATTAATATGATCTGAGGAAAGTTCGTCAAGACGGGTAAGGGAATGATTGAGGGGACCTAAACCATTTTAGTTATTAAACGTTATTTTCTATTGTAAAGTATACCAAAATGAAATTACGAGATTTCCGTTGCCCGCCATAGATTAGTCAAAACTTGCCCAAATTAAATTCACTAATTTAATTTTCTAAAATCGTTGCTGATTCCAGGGTTTTACGCCCCAAATTACAAATAATTTTCTAAAAGGTTACATTCGGAATAATGGACGGTGATACATAGCTATTTAAATATATCAGGTCTATAATTATTAAACTACAGTAAATGTATTTAAGGCTATAATCATATGTTTTAAACATCCAAGAAATATGTTTATATATTTTACAGAAGTCAATGAAATATTTGTTTAAACAACATCATTCATTGCCTTGATAAGGTGGATTTTTAATTCTCTGTTTTCAAACTTTTAAAAGCTTAGTTTGTAAATTTAATTTAATTTCCTTGATAATACGTGATCCGTTAAATAATAATAATCTTCAGAAATCATTAAATATATATTTTTCTTCATTTCCCATAGAGTTTCACGAATTTCTATATTAGTTATTATGTTTTCTAAAACTTTCGGCTTCCCAACGCTATATTATACGTATACCTTCTGACTATTATTTCCGAAGATTCATTTTCCAGCTAAATAATTATTTTGCCTCGTTTATCCTTTATTCAATTATCAAATTCTTTCAAAACTTATATTTATCATTTTTTAAAATTATTTATATCGATGAGAAATAGTTAGTTATTTAAAATAAACCAAAGTAAAGGTATTTTGGAGGAAGATATGTTGATCATTGGGCATTTAAGCCCTGCAAAGTGACATCAATGGGAATAAATTCTAAACGATGTTAAATACCACGTAATTATTGATTCGTACACAAAGTTTAATTAAAATCTTTTAAGCAGTTTTTGAAGAAATCTTAAAAATGTGTTTAATCGATACTATAATGTGCTACTTACTGTTAGCCAATTTTGATTAAAATGTTGCTGTATCATCTCACGCATATACAAACCTTAAATATGCAATTCGTACGGCTTTTCATTTTTTAGCTAAACTGTTCACATACACAAACACAGTCCGATTTTGCGGGGCTTGGTTATTTGGACACAAAGGGCCTCAAAACGTGTATTTCCGTTGGAAACTCAGATTCGAAAATTTTCACGATCGCATTACTTTCCCTTACTATACATTACATATATAGGTAGGTGAAAGTAAAATGAATAATTTATCAAATTATAATATAGAAATGGTCTTTGAACATCTCTATGGTCGATGAACAGTGGAAGAGATGCAGCAACGCAATGAAACAGGCAGCAGAAGAAGCTCTTGGCTACGAGACTAAATCTAGAAGGCCCCCATGGTTTGATGCTGAGTGCCTTCAAGCTGTAAAAGTGAAAAATGAAGCCTACAGAAAGAAGGTTCAGCGTCCCACAAGGCTCTCCCAAGAAACATATAGAAGAAAAAGACGCGAAGAGAAGAGATTATTCCGCGGAAAGAGAAGAGCTTGGGAAAATAAGAACATGGAGGACACAGAGGCATTGCGAGGCCAAAATGAAAGTCGCCTGTTCTTTCAGAGAATAAACGAGGGTAGGGCAGCTTTTAGGCCCAGAGTGACGGCATGCAAAGACACAAATGGAACTCTTTTAAGCCATAAAGATGACGTACTAAGGAGATGGGTACAACATTTCAAAGGCGCATTAAACAGAGGAACGGTGCCTGGAGAAGTAGGTGTAATGAAGGAAGACTCCCTGAATTCTATTGAACCCCCGGATGAGGAGGAAATGGAAAACGCCCTGAGGAAATTGAAAAATGGAAAGGCGCCAGGCCTGGACGGAATCCAGTCAGAGCTGTTGAAATGTGGAGGTGAAGAACTCAAGAAAGCTCTGCATGATTTAATGCTGACCATCTGGGAGAAGGAAGCTATGCCTACGGAATGGGCAACAGCCATTATCTGCCCAATACATAAGAAAGGAGATCAAACAGAATGCGCTAACTATCGAGGAATCTCACTCCTTTCGTGTGCTTATAAGCTGCTCTCTAACATTCTTTTTGAGAGGATCCTCCCGTATTCTGAAAAGGAACTGGGGAAATATCAGGCTGGATTTCGAAGAGGACGCTCAACGACTGATCAACTGTTCTCTCTGAGGATGATCCTAGAAAAGACTATGGAGCGTAAGGTAGTCACCCACCATTTATTCCTGGACTTTAAAGCAGCATACGACAGCGTTGATAGAACGCAACTATACTGTGCCTTGGAGGAGCTAAGCATCCCTCAGAAGCTCGTACGCCTAATCAAGATGACCATGGACAGCTCGAGATGCAGAATACGCGTCGGTTCTGACGACTCCGAAGAGTTTAAAGTGAGCAGTGGGGTTAGGCAAGGGGATGCCCTCGCCTGTCTATTGTTCAATTTGGCAGAGGAGAAAGCTGTAAGAGACTCCGGTATTCAGACCAAAGATATAATCTTCAATCGCCTGACACAGCTTCTTGGTTTTGCTGATGATATTGACATAGTAGGTAGGTCTGAACGGGCTCTCAGAGAAGCGTTTATAAGCCTTGAAGCAGCTGCAAGACCACTTGGTCTAGAAGTCAACGAGAGGAAAACTAAGTATATGAGAGTTGGCGGTGAGGTTGATCTGAACTCTCCATTTGAGGTAGGTTCTTTTAAGTTTGAGAGAGTGAAAAGTTTTATATACCTTGGGTCTGAAATCAATAGCAAGAATGACATGGCTCAAGAAATACAAAGAAGGATCACGGCTGCCAATAGATGTGTCTTTGGACTTGGCCGACACTTAAGAAGTAGGTACCTCTCAAAGAAGACCAAGCTGATCATATACAAGACCCTTGTTCGGCCTGTTTTGACATATGGCTCAGAGGCTTGGACGATGACCAAAAGGGATGAGATGAAGCTGAGTGTCTTTGAGCGAGGAGTCCTCAGAAGGATTTATGGTCCAGTAAAGGAGGGTGATGTCTGGAGGAAAAGAAAAAATAGGGAGCTCAGTTCTCTCTATGCAGACATCGACGTAGTCACGTATATTAAACTGGCCAGACTAAGGTGAGCAGGGCATGTGGCCAGAATGAGCACCCTTGAAATACCAAAAAAAATAATGATGGAGGAGCTGCACCTCGTAAGACGGGTAGGAAGGCCGAGGACGAGATGGTTGGACAACGTGGCCTATGATGCGAGAACCCTGCTTGGTGTGCGGAACTGGAGAGCTGCAGCAGAAGACAGAGCCAACTGGCGGAGGCTCTTGGAGGAGGCCCAGTCTCGGTGACGGGATGTTGTGCCATACATGAATGAATGAATGAATAATATAGAAATATGTATTCATAGATACAAATTTTTGGTTTGAATTATTGGTAAGTTCTCACTTTTTATATGACTAGATAATGAGTGATCATTGTTATCAATTATGTTCTGTAAATTGTTGTTGTATATAAATTAAGAATGAGATTATAATTATAAGAGCCTTACAAAGTATAAGGGCTTATATATTCCTTGAAAGCACTATATACATTTAATAATAACATAGTGAAAATAATTATTAAAAAATAATTTATAAAAATATCATTTTGCTGATCGAGAATTCACTTCCGACGCCAACACTGGCTGCTATTGGAGCTGCAGTAGATTGTTCCTAGTCCGCCATATCGCTACGGTGAATGCAAGCGGGGAGGGGTTTCTCATTTAAGTGCTGTTCGATTTCCCTCCTCCATCTCTTCTCAATAGGCCTCACTTTTCTCCCATCTCTCTTCTTAAAATATTTTTTGCCCTAATCTTTCTCTGTAGATTTCGAAGGCAGCGTACAGTTCACTAGATGCCTGATATATGAGAATACTTCTCAAACATTTCCGTTTGTTGTATTGCTTTGTTAAGGTTCGACCTTATTTTTGAACTCTTTATCGTGTATGGAATCCTTTGTAGAGGTTTCAGTCTCTTCAAGTAGCTGGATCGTTTCATTACTTCTAAATTTTACTTTTACAAAAAATGTTGATTTCACAACAAATCGAATCAAGTCTATTTAATTTATGTTTGATCAAAGTGAGTTCCCTTTACACATCGGTATTTTCAATACATAATAATACTCTTGTAAACTTGTATATTTTTATCCTTTTCTAATAATTTATCTTTTATTTTGGTTAAACATATTTTTATTACTTCTAATGCCATTTTTATTCCTCTTCAGGTGATCCTTGTACTCAAGTCGATGGACCGTTACGAAATCACCAACACTTCCATCATGATCCAGATCGTCTCTCACGTCCTGGCCTACATGAACTCTTGCGTCAACCCGATCCTCTACGCTTTCTTGTCGGAAAACTTCAGGAAGGCGTTCAGGAAGGTCATCTACTGCGGTCCAGAAGGAGCGCCACACCTCCATCACATCAACGGGAGGAACGATGCCGAGAAGTCAGCCGTCTCTACCAAGACAACCAGGTCCACCAACATAATTTGAGACAAGCAAGTGGCTCAATCATTTTGCTTGATAATTTGCTAAAAGAGCTGACAAAAATAATTAAAGAAAGCATGAACTGATATTTATTACAGCGTTCCCATTTGGAAAACGGAACAGCATATACATTTGTATTGAAAACATTCCACATTTCTCTTCTGAATTAAATTTACAAAAAAATAAATATCAAGTATTCTTCCAATTTAGTATTTTGGAGATAAAAGAAATGGTCACAATGCAAGCGATTTATAGTTTTTTTTTTTTAATTTTTAATACTTTTCTTTTTATAAATGAAGGTATTTAACTTAGAAAATTTAATATACTCCATTAGTGTATTTAAATTCTAAAAAATATTAGCCGAATCGAATGACGAAAAGCAGTAGGTTATTCCTAGGAGTCATCTCAGGTTTTGAGAGAGAATTTTCATTTTTCTGTTTAATGAGCTACTCATTTATCCTCAAAAGATTTAGTGGACACTATCACGCTGATTGTTTATATTATTTTACTGATTACATTTCCTTAGAGAATAATTAATACATTCCTCAATTCGAAATTATCTAAGAATTAAATACAATATTATTGATTTTTTTTTATTTCAATACTTTAATGAGAAATATATACAATATGTCACATTTAAGGACAATAGTAATAGTGATAGAAGAGGAGCTCATTCACGCTATGTAAAATAAATAAAAATAAACAGCAAAATAATAATACTAAAAGTAAATGTATATAAACTAAAAGAAACTAAACTAAACCAAAAGAAATTAAACCAATCAAAGTAACTATTTAAAAACAAACATTATTTTATACGATATTCACAAAATTCATTTACTTTAGATCGAGCCAAGCCTTTCTCACCACTCGATAAGGAAAGACATTAATATAGGAGATCCCAGCGTCACTCACCCGCATTACTGGTACAATATTCTTTTTTAAAAATCACTCTGAAACACTCAATCTATATACAAAAGTCTTTCGGCCAAAAAAATTTGTAGCTGGCAATCCATGTGGAGTTAGAGCCCTTCAAGCAAATTGAAAAATATGAAAAAAAGATAGTGAAGCCAAAATCAAGATCAAATCGTTCAGAGAGGATGTTGTCTCGACTAGACTAAGAATAGGCCATACTAATCTAACCCATTCACATCTCATTAGCAAGCAGACACCACCAAATTCCCCAACACTGCAATAGTAAACTTCCAGTTACCCACATTTTTCAAGAATGTTCTTTCTATATTTCGAATTTAACTAGTTTCAGACTCACACAGCCAATATCAATTATCCTTGTTACAGAAAATTTAAAAATTCAAATTCAAATCTAGTTCATATAAACAAAATTAAACACAGGCGTTGATGATCTCGAGGTTTTACCCATTGAAATCCTAACTAACAACAATTTAATTCATTTGTTGTAAAAATTATTTTCGTATCTTTTTGGTTTACTCAAAACCATCGTTTTCAAAATTAAATGATAGTATTTTATAATCAATATTTGTATATCGTTTATTTATAGTACCTATAAATGATATTTAATTATACACATGTTTGTAATCTTTTATAAATAGATATTTCTTTAACATTTTTTTTTAATTGATTGACAACTATTTTTTGAGAAGAAGTTGGTCGGTGTTGCTGTCAAATAAATACTATCTATTAAAATAGTATTTGATTGTTAACGCCGACGTTACGACCCACATTTTAGTGCTTTTAGGTCTTCGTCAGTGCGTGGTGTCAGGCACTGCAGGTAGCAGTTGGCAGACCGCTAATCAAAAATATTCTAATCTAAAAGTCCCATAATTTCGTTATAATTTTCATTGTTTATTTTTGCAAGCATTACACGTTTGAACCGATTGAAAATTTGATAGCGTAACGGTCAAATAATGTCTCGCTCGATTCCATATGAGAATTTTATTTGGATATGGAAAGTGAATATGAAAAGGAAGCAGGTAAAGAACATTGAATGAGCTCATAGCTGACAAACACTTGACCTGCATACTCAAGCAGCCTTGATAGTATTCGTGACGGGACTTAGGGAGCAGTCGAACTTACTCAAAACTTTATATTACCTTTGTTTTCTTTTATTTTACAAACATAATAGAAATTTCCGGGGGAAAACTTCTATCGACTTCCAATATTTGCACATTTTTTTTTTCTAAAATTATTTAAAATACAAGTTTGGTTGGATATTGCTTTTTATTGGCTGAAATTTTAACTTATTGGCCAGTAAATAAATAACCCACATATGCACAATATACATACATATTTTTTTATAGAGCTTAAATAAGGATCAAAACACTTTTGATTTATGTTTCTTGGGGAATGAGTACAGATCTTCTTATCAAATTGATGCCACATAATGCGTTTTTAGCATACTTTTTTCATCTTTTGTTACGAAAATTTACTCCTAAATACAGCCGTATATTAGCAAATATTATTCTAGATAATATTTACACATTTTAAAAATTTATAACTTTCAGTGCAATTTTTTAGCTTGACCATGACTACTAAGAAATATTTGCTGCTTAAAACCTTATCTCTGAGCAAAATCCCATTTTAAAAATTAAGAAAAAAAGAAAACCAATATTAAGAAAACTGCCAATCAAATCTCAAGTTTGCTATTTAGGACATTCAATACTATTATTTAAGATCAAATTTTCTTCGAAAAGTTGATATTATTTTTAATCCAAATAGCTAGATCCTTTTTTTTTTTTTTGTTGTTCTATTGACAGACCATGTATATCTTTTGTCACCTTAACAAGCCTGCTCCATCTCTGCCTGTCATGGGCTATCTCACTCCATTTATCTGCAGGCAGCTCTGTTGCATTTTTGTAGATTCTATATATCCATCTGCTGTTTGGCCTTCCACATGGTGTTATGACTTCCATTGAGGAATTCATTATTACGTAGAGGATTCCAGATGGAGTGCTACGAGCTACACGCCCCGCCCATCTTAACCTCCATGTCTTCATATCATGGGATATTGATTGCTCAGTTTCTACAAGCAGTTCTTTGTTGGTCTTTCTTATTCATGTGTTAGTACTCTGATCCCAGATCGCTCCAGGTTTCCTCTCAAATCTTACAACACGTTTTTCTAGGGTGCTGGTTGGTGTCCAGATCTCATATCCATATATTAGAACTGGCTTTATCAAAGCATTTCACAGCCTTAGTTTAAGATTTCTTGAGATTTTTCGGGATCTCAATACCTTTGGGGAGAAGACAGAGCTTTGCGCTAGGTGTGTGCTGGTCTATTTATGCCAGTTGATCATACATTGAGGTAATTGCAGAGTCGAGGCATTTGATATTTTTTTCTACTCTCGTGAATGATTTTCCTTCAATTCAGATCCTGTTTTTGGGATGGAATTGTCGGCTTATTATCATAAATTTTATTTTGTCTTCATTTACTAGTAGGGCGATCTGGTCTGCCTCTGTTATTGGTGTTGTAGCGAGTTTCTCAATGTCTTCTTGCTTACTTCCAAGGACAGCTACATCATCTACGTATCCAAGGATTTCATAATTCATTATGGCGTGGACCCCTTCATTTTCCTGTGATGTTGCTCTTATTATCTTCTCTACGGCTATGTTGGACAACTAGTCAAATAATATAAGGATGACCCTACTATATAATTTAAAATTGATGATAATAACAATAAAATAAAATTATTCATAAAATTCTTAGGATTAAATACAAGCTTCGCAAAATAAGATAATTTAAAAAACAACAATAAAATCATCCATACACATTACGACTATCCAACCATCCATAAAAGAGTTAATTAGTGATTTTTAATATTGTTTTTTTAATGTTTAAGTTTCATTCTCATTTTTATTACGAATTGAACTGTCGCCATGAATTTTTTTTGGTCTAAAACATGTACAGTGGCAAAATTGATTTGAGGACAACAAGTAAAGATTATAAATTATACCAAACCACTTTAGAAAAACTTTATATATTTTCTTGAGTGGATATTATAGGTATAAACACGTTTTTGTATTTAATGAACGATGAAAATTAAGAAATTTGCGTTAAATGAAGTAGTTTGTCATGTTCTGTGAAAAACTATTTAATGATATATGACCCTATTATCAATTAAAAATATAATCAAAGGGTAGGTATTTGATATAAATACATATATCAATTACTTTAGAAATGAATAACTTTTTATTTTATAAATAAGGGAGTAGTCTTCTTCAGATTTTTTGTGAACGAGTGAATGTATTTTTTTCTCTCTCGCACCCCTCCCTAAAAAGCCCTCTCCGTTATACACAATTCATTAAGTCTTATTCAACCTCCCTTGAAACTCCTTCCTTCGGCTGTTTTTTTTTTTTTTCATTCCTTTCTTTTTCTTATTTTTCTAGAAATGTCAAAGAGCGACTTTCTCAAAGTTGGCCGATTCTCAGATTCTTATAGATTTGTCTTCAAACGTTTATGTGGCAAGGGATATCTTCCAACTGTCATCCAAGATTAAAAATAAAACGAAATTCAATTTCAAGTTTACTGAAAGTCATTACGACCTGTTAAAGACAACTGCAAAAGAGCCGTAAGAGACTGATCGGTTTTGAAGTATTCAAAAATTTTGTTTTTAATGACTTAAGTTATTTTAGGAAAAACAACTAGGGTATTTTATCACAATTATAAAATGGAAATGTTTTAATAAACCTATATGGGTAACTTCATACAGTTAATTAAGACCGGTGGATTGTATTTCGTGATTTTCATTTTTATGATTGGAATGGTTTCAGTTGTTAATTCTGTCATAAAGAAATTGAAGATATTGTAAATCTAGGTGTATAGTGTAATGTTTACCCTTAAACATTAAGCGTTATCGATAAACGTTTTTATTTTTTATTTTGAAACTGTTTTCCTAGTAAAATATATTTTTTTATCTTCAATTCTTCATTAGAAAACATATTGACAATGAGCAGATTTGTTGTTACGTTTCAAGATGGCATTTTTGGCATTAGGAAGAATTGTATCCAACAACATTTCTTCCCTGGTCTTTGTT